TATATGTACGTTGTTTGTGTGTTTCAGCCATTTGGACTCAGCTCAGCCACTGCAGAGGAAACAATGACTTCAACTCAAAAGGTGAGGAAAAATATCTCAGTTACACTGTTATTGAAACTGTGTGCACAGCTGGATGTTAACAACAGCTTTATCTTTTCCATCCTTGTTTGAATTCATAGGGAAGGGATTTGGTGTGTGGTAAACAGGTAAATAAACTTTTTTTTTTTAATTATTTGAATATATATGAGCGTTTGTGTATAAATACACAAATAATACACATATGCTTTCAATTGTGTAATTTAAGTGATCTAGGTAGCTCTGTTTTGGAAGGTCAGTTAACGCTAGAAATGTGTTTTGGAGTTTGTACGTTCGTTGTCTCTAGGGGCCACCGCATATATAAATAAAACCACTGTAGTAATTCTTTTTTCTTTTTTTTTCTTTTTTTTGCACAATTTTATATTTTTGTTAATAATAAATTAATGAAACCATCAAACAACCTGAAGAGCAGGTTGGGAGCCGAAAGAGCCGTCTCTTTTTAGTGAGCCGAGCCGGAAATCCCATCACTACTAGCAAACACGCTTTGCTTGTGATTGAAAAAAGGAAAAGCACTCCTTCCCTATTGGTGGGAAAATATACCATTTCAACCAATCAAAAAATTATATGGCAGCATGTGGCATCTGGTTGTTTGGGAAGAGGGGAAGTTTTAGGAATGACCAGTGAAAGAGAGAGAGTTTTGATACGTGAGAGATTTGTGACGTTTTACCGTATTTGGAGTCTCAAGTTAGTGTGTCATCTTGTGTAGTTAGTGTGTAGTGTAGTCGTTGTTTTGTTTTGTGTGTCAATTATCAGTGTTGGGTGTAATGTGTTACTAAGTAATGCGTTACTGTAATTAAATTACTTTTCCACTGAAAAAGTAGAGTAACTAATTACTGTTCAATGTACTTGTGTTACATTGTAAAATAATTAAACTCGCAGAATATCATTACTTAACTTCAATAATTTATCTTATAAACGTAGAAGTAAACTCTGCAGCTGCGCGTCATTTCGCACCAGTTTGCTGCACAGTCGTATTCTAAAGCAGAAGATGTCGGACTCGGCTGAAGCGAGTGGCTGTCTTATGAAATGGACATATTCCCGTCTCTTCACTTTTCTGAAACAAGCAGACAAGAATATTACAGTAAAATGTAAGCTATATCCTGGGGAGAAAAAACTATCGGCTGCTGTTAATAGCACGAGTAATCTACTGAAGCGCCTGACACGAGAGCATAGACGAACACTTCTGGGTGATTCTTGTTCGTCATCCATGGATAACACCGCAGCAACTCCTGCTTAGCAGGCAAAACCTGATTTTACTTCAGCAGCACAGAAAAGGTCTGAAGGTGAGCTTAAAAAGATGATTGCAGGCTACATTGTGGAAGAGATGCTACCGCTGCATACTGTACAGTCTCCGTCTTTAAAAAACTTTATTTATTGTTTAAAGAGTTTAATTTCTATTGTTTGCCCACTCAAGGTTTATAGGGATTTTAAGAAGTATTTAGTTAAATTATTTATTTAGTCATTAAGTTACTTTTCTGACACAGTAATTAGATAAGTATTTTAAATACAATATTGACTAAGTAATTAGTAATTAATGACTTTTTTAAAGTAACTTACCCAACACTGTCAATTATACTAGTGAATGTCACAGTTGCTGCAAAAAAGCCACCAAAGGCAGATTGCAGTGTAAACGCTGAGTGACACACCTGCAGGTTTATCCCTGTGCTGTTCTCATCTGTGTTATAGTGACACAAACTATAGTGGATTTGCATAAATAATATGTGTGTCTTCTTATTTGATGCAGAACACCTGATTGGTCTATAAATAGTTTGAAATTGTTATATAAAAAACGTCTGAGCCTTGGCTTCATTTTTAGGTAAATAGTACCATAAAACTTTGTTGTTTGCAAAACTTGTGCATTTTTTTTTAAAGTACAAATGTGTTTATTGTCATCACCAAGACATTAAACTACTTAAACATTATAAATGTCTTCAAGCTCACACTAAGGCCTGTAGACACATTTATGTGTATTTGTACATGAATATTTCATACTTTAAGGCTGCCTGTTTATTTGGGGACATGAACAAAATACATTGGACTTGTACATAATAACATCACAGATGATAAATTAAAAAGATTTTAAGTAAATGCTTGTGCATTCTTCAAGTCTTGTTGAATATGTTGAATTGAACTATGTGATCTATTTAACGCCTCTCCCAGTCAGTGCTGTTCTCCATGCCTGTGTGACTGTACATGATGTTATTAGCACAAACGCTTTAAAGGTGATCATTTAGGACTTTAGCAATAATACAGACAGCAATGTAGCTAGCAATAAAACAGTTTTATTGGAAATGAACTTAAAAAAACCCACACATCCATCCATCCATTCGCTTCCGCTTATACTTTTTCAGGGTCGCGGGGGGCGCTGGAGCCTATCCCAGCTGTCATAGGGCGAGAAACAAACAAACATCTGTCTCCTATTTTTATTTTTATTTTTTGTCACACAGGAAAGAAGCATCATTATCCACTGATAAGACTTATTTATTTCTTTTATTTTTTCTGTTTTTTCAACAGAAGAATATCTCTAACAAGTTGGTTTATTCACATTTTCACATCTTTAGTTGTAAGTGAAATGTGCATTTTGAGTTTATACACTATGTATATAAGGCGACCGTTCCTTTTGCAGTATTTTTGTGTGGTGCGTTTTTCTATGTCTTAACAAAGGGGTTACAAAGGTGTTTAAGTTCACCTAGGATGATTTTTTTTTTTTTTTTATATTCCCACATGGTCTTACTGAGGTGAAGAGAATTAAAATTCGCATTCTTTTTTTGGGGGGGGGAGGGGGTGCTGGAAAAGCTTGAAAAGGGACCTTGAAAGTGCTTAAAGTGCTTGAATTTGACACTGAAAACGGCGTATAAACCCTGAATGGAGTTTCAGTTTGTTCCACGACTGTATTTCACACACTGCTTCTGTTTGTATCTCTGTCACTGTAGGAACAACATGGAGCCAGAAGTCGGCGCTCTCAGGAGGCCGACAAACCTCACAGAAGAAAGAGAGAGAAAAAACACAGCTGTGAATTGTGTGGAAAATCTTTTACCCGGGCTGAACGCCTAAAAACACACCAAGTCATCCACAGTGGAGTTAAACCTTACAGCTGTGAATTGTGTGGAAAGTCTTTTACCCAGGATGGAAGCTTAAAATCACACCAAGTCATCCACAGTGGAGTTAAAGCGTACAGCTGTGATCACTGTGGTAAAGCCTTTGCTCACAGTAGGTACTTACGAATTCATCAAGTTGTTCACTCTGGAATCAAGCCATACGGTTGTGACATTTGTGGAAAAACTTTCACCCAGTCAGGGCACCGAAATGTTCACCGGCGCATTCACACCAAAAATGATGTTTACTGCTGTGATCAGTGTGGAAAAGTCTTTGTGAACTCAAAAGATTTAGAGAGCCACATGTTTACCCACACTGAGGAGAGACCTTACAAATGTGACCTGTGTGAGAAGGCTTTTAAAGAGCCACGTTCCCTGAAAAAACACCAAAAAATTCACACCAGAAAGAGACTCTACAAGTGCAGTTACTGTGAGGTATGTATTTATATTGTTGTTGATCAATGGTCATGAGACTTTGCATAATTAAGATTAAGGAACTGACCTCCCAGCCCATTTGTTCCTTCAGTGGGCTGTTTTCAGTCATTATGCAAATGTAACTGTTTATAAGGTTGGGGAAACCTGCAGTCAGCTGAGACTGAAGAAGTCATTTGGATGAGTGACGAAACGTTTCTTGGGAGAAACATTATGTCCAGATGAACAGAATTAACTATTGGAGAACACAGATTATCGTTTTACATAAAAGTACTCAATCATACAGTAACCAAAATGTCCATTCAAGTATTCAATTTCACTCCCAAAACTGACACACATCTATACGTAACATTGGTTCTCACTTTAGGTATTTCAAACTTATAAGACCCCCTCAAATCATATTTTCCATCTCTTAGTTTAAACATACTTAAAATACAAATTGGAACATTCTTTTTCACAACTAGATACATTATTTCTAAAGTTTTAGAATGTATAATGTCCATGAATTTTAACATAGATGATCCTACAAAAACTGGTTGGTGGACTCCCTATATCCAAGTGTGTGTGTGTGTGTGTGTGTGTGTGTGTGTGTGTGTTTGTGTGTGTGTGTGTGTGTGTGTGTGTGTGTGTGTGTGTGTGTGTGTGTGTGTGTGTGTGTGTGTGTGTGTGTGTGTGTGTGTGTGTGTTTGTGTGTGTGTGTGTGTGTGTGTCGTGTTCTGCACAATAGGTCATATAAGGCAAACAAAGGGAAGTATACAATGGTTCAAAGCTAAATAAGACATGAAAACTTCATGTACAGAATATTCAGTCAAATCTGACACAAATCTATTGACACTCCTGATGATGGAAAAAGTAACGTTTTAAAAGCTCCTCCCCTTTCTATCTAACATTCACACTCCAATGGATAAATCGGAGAGCAGCTTGGGGTTAGTATCTTGCAGCATCCAGAGTAGAGCATCTAGGTGTTTAACCATTCCCATTAAGTAGATTACTTACAAATGAAGAGTCTATTTTGTCCAGTAAGCTGAGCGTTATAATGTAAACAGTAAAATGTATTGGATGTGGGCAGAGATGCTCTTTATTTCAGGCGATGTTCAGGATAAAAATGTTGAAGGAATTCCCTGACTCTCACTGTCTTTGTGTCTTTGTTTAGAAGCAGAGCGGCACAGATGGATCCAGTTCTCGACCCTGTCGTCACTGTGGTGGTGGGAAAAACTTTCACTGTGACCTTTGTGGAAAAATGTTCAGTAATCAATGGAGCCTAACAATACATCAACGTAGACACACTGGAGACAAAATGAATTACTGCAAAGAATGTGGGAGAGGCTTCCCCACACCGAGTCAATTAAAAAACCATGAAGTCATTCACAGTGGGGTCAGAAAGCACGTCTGTGACCAGTGCGGGTCATCCTTCACCACTCCAGGTGACCTTAAAGTGCATAAACGAGTCCACACAGGAGAGAAACCATACAAGTGCAGACACTGTGACAGAAGCTTCTCGCAATCATCTGGTCGTAGCAAACATGAACAAACACACTGGAAGAGAATTTCAGCTGTGACCAGTGTGACAAGAGCTTCAGGAATCTCAGTTCAAATTGCAAACACAAACGATCCCACGCTGTAAATAAACTGTTTCACTGTTACCAATGTGCAAAAACATTCACTTCATTATCTGCTCTGTGCAAACATCAGCGTGATCATGCAGGACTGAAATCACTGGATCACAATGAATCAGAAGAGACAGAAAGATTCCCTTCTGGTTTCAGGGTCGGACTTAAACACCTTGAGATCAGGCTCCACAGAGTTCAGGTGGAGTCTCCTGTAAAGAGTGCAGCTGATGTCACACTTGGATCTGATGCGGTAGCTCTGCTTTCTGAGCCTGCAGTGTATATAATCCTGAATGTTTCATCCAGGAAGCTGGAATAGAATAGAATCCCTTTATTGTTGTTATACAGATGTACAATAACATACAGAGCATCTCCTACTCGGTACAAACATGTAAGCAGGGGCTTACAGTTTCTGCAGTACTATATACCCATTGGACAGTGTTTGCAGAAAACCAAATATATTAAAAAATATCCAAATATAGAATTGGTGGTTCAAAAGTTACAATTTGGAATATTGAAAAGTACTTGTTTATAGAGGGAATAATGACCATTTTAAAGATTTTGAAACCTGTCGTTGCCTAGTTTCACTTTCGTGTCTTTACGCTCTCCTTGAAGTCCACATGTTATTGAATGTATTTTGATTCACATGTTCTGCAGCTGTTTTCTTGTTGATTTGAAGTTTGTGTTATGAAATCCTGATACACTTAAAGCATTAGTTATATTTGATGAACTCTGTCTAGTGTTTTCTTAAACAGTTTGATGTGAAAAATGTGTAGTTTGAGCCATGATTTCAGGTTCAGATCAACTGTTTTCAGTGGCAGAGGTGGAGATTTATCAGAGGAGACTTGGCTGTTCTCCGATCACACTGAACAGGGTTCCTGCAGCTTATTATAAACTGAAATTCTCTTCAAGGAAAATAAGGTCATAAAATTTTATCTCAAAACCTTGCTGTAGGTATGAAGTTTGCAAAGGGTGTGTTTAAGATGCTAAAAGGATGAGTTTTCCTTCCAAACTGCAAACAAGCTGTGCTTTCTAACAACCAAAGTGAGATTAATCAGACTACTTTCATAATCCATAAGGACATTATTATTATTTATTATTAAAAAACATCCACAGCCTGCTGCAAGCCTCCTCTGCGTTTAGTTTCACCACGGATATTTGGACAAGCAGTGTTAGCCCCGTGTCGCTAATTAGCCTAACCTCACAGTGGATAGACTAGTTTCACGCAGCAGCAAGCCATATTACATGCAAAACAATTGCGCGGCTTGCACACCAGCCGGGCTATAGCGCATGTGTTTGATGAAACGCTCCAGACATGGGGTATTCCTAAAACATCAGTACATGTTGTGCTTCGTGACAAAGCCAAAAACATGATTAAACATGATTAAAGCCATGAATGACGCAGGGCTCCCAAGTCTGCCATGTGTTGCGCACGCGCTCCAACTGGCTGTTCACGGAGGCTTATTAGCACAGAGGAGCATAGCTGATGCTTTAGCAGTGGGGCGGAAAATAGTTGGGCATTTTAAATATTCTACCTTAGCCTACTCCCGCCTCGAGGACATTCAGGGACAGCTCAACCAGCCAATAAAGAGACTGCAGCAGGACGTACAGACGCGCTGGAACAGCACGTATTACATGCTCCACTCCCTCATTGAGCAAAAGCGAGTGCTGGGCGTGTATGTGTCCGAGCATGAACTCCCTGGCTGTATCCCAATTTAGGGACCATCAGAGACCCTTGTCTAGTAGAGCGCAGTCCTAGGAACAACTAAGATGCTACGCAGGACATTCAAGGGGCGAGAGGGAATATTTTAAATATTTGATATGTACCATGTCTGCTTGAGCAGAAGTGTGGTGAATGGTTGCTTGTCAGCGTTGGTTCTCTTTCACTCTAGCTGTGGCTGTCCTCCAGATTTTTGAGCCTCTCTTTGCCTCTGTTTGCACCCACAAACTTCCATTAGTCAACTAAAATGTGCTTCATATTTTGTCTGTCACAAGTTTCTTGCTCTGATATTCAAATCATTGGTAATTGTTAGAAAAACAGTAGCTTGGTGTACATGTACTGAATGTGATTCTAACTGCTTTGGATAACATATAATAATGATGGAAAATAAGCATTTGGTCAATAACAAAAGTTAATCTCAATACTTTGTTATATACACTTTGTTTTCACAAGCCCAACAATAACACTTCTCACTATTGCCAATATTAACAAAACTAAAAAGGGTAGGCCAAGTTATATATATTAAGAAAAAGAAAATAAATAATGATGCTGTAGTGTTCATTTGACTTTGGGACCTGAAGTGGAGTTTGTACCCGGAAACGGCTAATGACATCAGACTTCTAAGACCAGATTCCAAGTTCACCATCAGGATCGCTCCGCGTCGACATCATGAGAACTAATTATAATGAAGGCCGTTACATTTAGAAACATCATCGTGTCTTAAACATAAAAATAGAATGCTACTTTAGCTTGTGTCACATATTCAGTGAAATTAAATAACTTAAGCCATCACGTACAATGGTTTGCAATAACATGTTTATCAAAATGGGTGGTGTATTTGGGATCATTGTCATGCTATAAAACCCAGCCACCTTTTATGTTCAATATCCTTGCTGATGGAAGGAGGTTTTTCACTCAAAATCTGACAATAATTAATGAAAATTGTAAATAATTAATGAAACTTGTAAATAATTAATTAAACAAATACTTTTGACACATTTAATTATTTATTTCACATTTTAATTAATTATTGAGACATTTCAATACTTATTTAATAGTGTATTTAATTAATTCCTTTTGGCACACTGGACTCTTCATGTCTTACCATGAATTTATTTTATCTGTCAACCTCACCCATCAAACCCAGGGGGCGGGGTTAACGCTAATCAAGTCAAAACCATTGCTTTAGCCTGGTGGCCGTTGTTTTTAGAAGGCGTTACTGGATATCAACAAACGGCATGTGGAAACTAAGAGAACTGAACTTTGAAAAACCCTGTTTGTGTGTCACCAAATACCATTGTAATATTTTTTTAGCTGAGAATGTAGCGGTTTAATCTTCATGTGTCTGGTCGGTTTGTCGAGATACAGCCTCTTTGCAAAAGTGCTTTGATGATTTCGGAGATGTCTGCCCAGCCCAGTCTTACGGCAAAGCGTGCGAGAGACCCAAAGCGCAGGCCCCGGTACTCAGCTGCCATAACCCCCGCAGTACACTGACTTCATTTACTGAGGTTATATTTATCGGGTTTTTATTTCATAATGTTCATATGTGTCATAAATGTTTAAGTCGCCAGTTCTGAATCATAACTAACATTAAAAACATGTTTAGGAGGAGAGAGAGCAAAAAAATCTGATTATTCCGGGGCGATCGTGGCTCAAGAGTTGGGAGTTCGCCTTGGCCTTCGCCCGACTCCGACAGTCTCGGTCGTTGTGTCCTTGGGCAAGACACTTCACCCATTAGCTGGTGGTGGTCAGAGGGCCCGGTGGCGCCAGTGTCCGGCAGCCTCGCCTCTGTCAGTGCGCCCCAGGGTGGCTGTGGCTACAATGTAGCTGCCATCACCAGTGTGTGAATGGGTGGATGACTGGATATGTAAAGCGCTTTGGGGTCCTTAGGGAGTAGTAAAGCGCTATACATATACAGGCCCTTTAACATCTGATCTTTGGGTTTTTGTTGAATACTCAGCCTGACCTGTGTATAAACACAAACTTTATTAAAAGAAATAACATTGGTGTTTCCATCATGGTAAATGGTAAATGGCCTGTATTTATATAGCGCTTTACTAGTCCCTAAGGACCCCAAAGCGCTTTACATATCCAGTCATCCACCCATTCACACACTGGTGAATGTGTGTTATCATGTAGTACCAGCAGTTATCATGTAGTAACTGCTGGCTTTAACTGTACAAAGGTTGTTCGACAGTATGAAACACATAGAGACTTCATGATGTTCGGCTAATATTTTTATTGTGAATATTAATCATGAGGGTAAACGGCCCTGTATACCACGGAGCGAGGTCAGCATATCCACGATATCTTCAGCTCTCTGTGTTAACCCATCAAACTAATCTAATGGTCATCTACGAATAATTCACGGGTCATATCAATATGATTTTAACAAAAATCATCCTTAATACTGCCAACTATTCCAGAGACGTGCACTCAAACTTTACAACCGCATCACTTAACACTGCAGTTTTACATGTGCACTTTTTTTTTTTTTGCAGTCCATTCTGAGCTTTGACAGCGTGTCGGTCTACGTGCCATCGGGTGAGAAAGCCGACAAAGACAAAGCAAACCCCATGCATTACCAAAGATTCACACCAAACTTATCACAAAGATGACATTCTTGGTTGCTTTAACAAACATTTTATTATGTCACGGTTTCATTCACTCATGATTTGTCGTGAGCACTTCTTTAGTTTGAACCCAGTGACAGTATGAAGTTATTGGATTTGTTTTTATCTCAGTGTTTTCACTTCCAGCCATAAAGTATTTCCACATGGGGCTCCTCTTTTAATTAATTCCAATTTTAATTAATTATTGCCACATTTAATTAATCATTTAATGGTGTATTTAATTAATTCATTATGGCAGTCCTGGCGTTCCATACTCTTTCTCACGCTCTCATCTCAAAAATGTGATTTCTCAGCGTAGCTCCATCATGTGACCGCACAGAAACGAATAACAGCAGAGCAGGGAATAAGGGGGCGGAGTAAAGTGTACCGCAGAGGAGACGAGCAGAGAGAGCTGCTTTTTCATGAAACGGGAGTAAAGTACTGAACTTTGAGGAGAGAAAAAACCGAAGTACCGATCATAAACCACTACCAACGTTTGTATCGATATCTGCATCGATCTGCCCACCCTTGTCTCCTGGATCGTAGCTGAGATCAGCGTGAGCCACGTGGGTCTCTGCTCCCTGATCTGTTTCCTGTGTTTGGAAAGAGTTGCAGCTTCATCGCGGAGTTTCTCTCGGTTTGTGGGCTCATCTAAAGGTAAGCACCGAGCTAACTTTAATGTGAGTTCAGTTCATGTTGAGTTTAGCTCCTGAATGAGGTCTTCTGCTGCTCTCCTCTGTGTCTGTTCACAGTTTATTGTGAACACGTTGAGAGAAGAGAGAGTGTATTGCAGTGTATTTTTGGAATGGCGACGCGATAGCTTACAGCGGCCCACGGCCACACCGTGTTCAAACCATGGTGTGGGGCTGTTCGTTATAACGAAACATATCGGTTGACGATAGGAAAACATCTATCGTTTCATATCACTCTGGGCCTGTCTCAAAAGAGATTGACAGACCACGTGACTTTGGCGCATTGCATTGTGTGTGGCAACAAAATCAAAAAGCTCAAAATCAAGCGCTAGCATTTCCAGCACCGGTGATCATTAATTCTGCGGTCCTAATCCCTACTTGCATTTTATTTGCCCCAAAAACATATATGTGAACACGACAGGTCCATACAAAGCCAGACTTGACGAAAAGGCAAAACAAAGAACGAGGAAAAATCAAAGGAGTGAAAGGGTCACAGAGTGGAGTACGGACATTAGCCTGCTGCCCAGCTTTCATCACGCACATATTTACTATTATATGGTCCTAAGTGTGAGTGCATACACTCACAAAATGTTTAGTAACTTCAGATCCCTGCAACAAGCCCAGGTCCAGTTTACTTTGGTGATTTGGACTATTCCATTTCACAGCTGTTGTTACATTTTTGTCCTTTATCTCCTGTACAGGCCAACGCAATCTAATTGTTGTTTCAGGTTGTAGTGTTACACAACATTTTCAGATCTAATAGGAATAAAATGAGTGTTTCATCATTCATTCAATTTATTGTCTTTATTCATAACTGGCATTATTGTTTCATTCTATTATAGAGTCTTATAAGAAAGAGGCAAAATTGTATTCAGTCATACTTTATTAGCTGCTTCGGTGAAAAAATAATCAACAATGCAATAAAAAAAACATATCAAAACAACTTACTGGAAAACCGTTATTCATCACTTGATTGCTTCAATACAACACTTGGGCACATATGTGCTTGACTTTTCGTGGCTGTTTTGATATTGCTCTCTTTTTCTTAACTGATCAAATCTTGCTGTGGTAGCAGCTAGGGCTGCCACGATTAGTCGACATTCGTCGACTCTTTGTTACTTCGGAAACATGGCTTGAACAATTTCTCTTCCACATCGGAATCCAATAAAAACCCTTCTCTTTACCCATCGGCTTCCAGTGGCTGTCATGCAACTGGCCCTTGCCAGTTAATGCAACAATAATGCAACAGCTTCTTGCCATTCTTCATGTTTCTTTTAATCGTTGTGTGACTTTACTTGTGAAAGCCTCTCTACGCTAGTACCGCTTGCCACTCGCACCTACAATCGGTTTTATCCCGGAAATGACATTTTATGCGTACTTGTGCATACTTCCGTACTCGTGGTACGCCATCAGTCGGAGACCAAGTAGTTTTCCAATCCGGTCTTTAATTTTGACATCATTAGCCGTGCCTGGGCCCAAGCTCCGCTGCAAGTCCCTAGGGCTGTGTTCCAATCCAGCAACCACACTCTTCGTAGTGCGCATTTGGAGACCGATTACGTCACAGCGACAGCTGTCCCAACTCGAAGTGGTACTCCAAATGCGGTCGACCAATGCGCCAACGATGGCCCCAAATTTGAAGTGTGGTCTGGTGTAGACTTCATGGTCCCATATATCCCACAATTCATAGCGCTGTGGAGGATGTGGATAATTTTGCCACGAAAATACGTGTGACGGCTGAAGTGGGTGGCCGAGGAGTAAACTTTCAAAAGGAAGTACTGAGTATTATGTCACTTATTTACAGTGGGGCAAAAAAGTATTTAGTCAGCCACCGATTGTGCAAGTTCCCCCACTTAAAATGATGACAGAGGTCAGTAATTTGCACCAGAGGT